TGCTGTAGACAACAGATCTTATAATACTGCTACGCTTTCTAGAATAAATGATTGACATTTATTACTGCTACCTTTATTTGTCGAAAACCTTTAAAAACAATTGCTCCGAGAGGGTTTAACGACATTCCAGAGCAGCTTAATGTGAAACGAGTGCTAACGCGCAGTGTTGCCGACAGCAGCAGGCTTCAATTTAATATCGATAACCAGCGTGCGCATTGTCGCAGAAGTGCCCTAAAGAGGACAGAAAGCTTTTTTTTTATGCGATATTTGGACACCAAGTGAACTCGGACGCGAGGGGGAGATTTTGACCACAGATCAGGGGGTCACATGATCCGACGGGGAGGCCGGTGCTGGGAATTTTAAACAGAGCCGCTCAGTCAAATCCATTGTCCTGTTGTGTATGTTTTTCCCAGGAACCCGAGGGCATCCGTCACCGGAGCCTCCCTGCGGTTGTCGCGGACAGTTCGCTGGCTGCTGCGCCCTGGCTTCTCCCCCAGCTCGTTCAGGCGGAAGCGGGGCTAACCTTCATTCACCCAAGTAATCGTGAAATTAAACTTTAAACTAAAGGTCACACCAGTACGGGCTGGTGCGCGTAGGTTATCTCAGCCGTTTGTCGAGGCCGAGGTACAAACCATCAAACTTGTGTCTGATGGTGTGATGGTTTGTGTGGGACTCCCAGCTCATTCGATTCCCGATCAGCCGCTCCGCACTGGTTTTATCTGGAATAGCGGGTAGGTTGTTTGAGGTGACAAACATCTCAGGCCAAAACTAAAACTCAGGTGCCCTGCGCCTCCAGCAGCAGCACGATGCGTGACTTCGAGATAACTGTTCCGAAGTGACTTTTATTTGCGAATTCTGTAATGTCCCCCTGCGTATCCGAGCGCGTTTTGTGCTGGGAGGTTTCGGATGAGGGGAGCCCTTTGTTTCTAAGTTTTAAAGGAGGTCGTTCCCCCTGCCCTTTTGAGTAATTTTCTCATGCTAAGCATTATTTAAAACGGAAAGAACACGAAAAAGCCGTAAAGGAACCCCGTCCACAAGGAAACATGATAATGTTGCGGGCTGGTCTTCAACAGATCGCCCAGGGATGCCCAATCTCATGGGTTCTCAGAATCACCCCATCTCTGGTTACCATGGAAAGCGCCACAGGAACCTCCTCCCAGCAGCGTCACCGAACTAAATCTCGAGCTTAGAGCAAAAAAAAAAAAACGTGGGGGGTGTCGGGAGGTAACTAGCGGTCAAATCCCCAGAAAAGAGTTCACCATAGTTAACCGCATCGCTGCCGGCGGAGTTTTCTTTTGCTCAGGAAATTTTAAAAAACCGTTCTAAATAGGGAATTTATAGCTTCTGAGAAGATGCTGTGTGTGTGTGTGTGTGTTAAGGCGTGCGACTCATTTTCTTGACAGAAACGGTGGAGACCAGGTTAAATTACATGTCTGGAGCATGTTATGTTTATAACTGCGAGTGTGCACCAGATGTGAATTCTCCAATATATCCCAATCCCCCCTCGCCCATTCAGGATTTTGTATGATCCTTTTTCGGGGCCCTGCAGTCTCGAGTCAAGAGCGTCCTACCAGTAGCCACCTGGGCCGGCCGCTAGCCAAGCGACAGAGCATGGTCTTGCTCACTGAGGTGGGAATAACGGCGTCTTTCCGGCGAGGAAATGGTTAATCGCACGTCAAACCCCTCCCATTATTGTCAGTCAATGTATTAATAATCGTACCACCTTAAATGGCGCTTTAAAAGGCAGGGAGCCCAGGTCGCCGGGGACCAGGCTGCTGTCTGCGGGCTTGTGGTGCTGAAGGAGCCGCTTCGTCATGTGGTCCGTCTTCTTCGTCTTTCTGTCGTACCTGGACAGAAACCTCGTCAAGGGCGACTTCCCGAGCCCCTCGCTGGGGGTGGGAGACGAGGGCGGCGAAGTCTTCTACATGTTCAACGGCACCTTCTGCGCCAAGAGCGCCCGCGTCGGCGCCCACGACCTCCACCAGGTGCCCGACGGCGTGGAGGAGGTCCGCTCCGTCCGCGACCCGCGGGGCGGGCTACTGGACTGCGCGGTGGTCAGCAGCCCGATGGAGGTGAAGTCGTTCATGCACGTGTGTCGCCTGGGGCTGAGGGACCGCCGGCGCCGCGCCGAGCCCCGCGACTGGGAGAGCTGGCCGGCCGACGTGGCCACGGCCAAGGCGCGCTGCCGGGCGTTCTGGAGGGCGAAGCTCGGCCCGGGGCCCGTCAGGGCGAGTCCGGCGCCCCAGGGGCAGACAGCGGGCGCAGAGCGGGGAGAGAGCCAAGACGTCGGGGGTGCCCGCACAGCTCCTCGCAGAACTAAGAGGGGCTTCACTTACCCCGGTACACTGTGGTGTGGGGCGGGCAACAACGCCGAGCATTACGACCACTTAGGTAAGCGCTCCTGGAGCTCACATTTATTCCATTAGCAGTCAAAGGGTACTCAGAGCTGAGCGAGTAGATGCATAATCTTCGGTATAGTGTCTTCAAATCGGCCGTTAATTTTAAACCCCCGTATGCATCCACTGCTAAATGTCCGTTGTTAAAGATAAAAACTTGAGACAAACCGCCCATTTTCCCCCACTTTTTTAGTAGCAGTAAATAGGAAAGGGGAATGACCTTGCTTTTTTAACGTAAGGCACGCTTTAGGTATACTATTCAAGCGTTTGGGCGCCCAGGTGAGAAAACGACTCGCTCTCCGTGTCGGTGGTTTGTGTTAGAAGCGAGCGAAAGAAAATGCTAAATAACGGGTAGAATTATTTTGCGAGGAAAAGCACCACCTTTGAGCCACTCTGCTCTCTCAGACCGTGGGACCCGTCCAGTGAACGCCTTACCCATGTCATACAGAAGTTTACTCCGTCGCACAATGTCCTGTCCTCAACTAGTCTTGTGTTAATGGAAATAACTTCCAAACGCAAGAAGTAGCACCCCCTCTGCTGATCGAATAAAACATGAAAACTGTTTCAGCCTCCGAGTTCCTCTGACCACGCGTTGTGATGACATTCTGAAACGCGTGATCGGTCCGTGGGCGAACCGTGTTCGTGTTTCCTCAGGCGAGTTCGCGGACACGGACAGCTGCTGCAGGGAACACGACCACTGCCCGTACGTGATCCAGCCCTTCTCGTCCCGGTACGGCTACCGGAACTTCCGCTGGCACACGATCTGCCACTGCGACTGTGACAACGCGTGAGTACACCTCCACCCACCCGGGGGCGGGCTGCCACCGCCTGCACCGACACCGGCCTCGCCCGGGCTCCCATTTCAAACGTTTCTTTGGTCACATGCCCGCATTTAATAGGTACAAAACACCTGTATGTGCGTCCTTCGTTTTCTGAACTACTGGACAGTCATTCTTCTGGGTTGCTTGAGATGAAATGTTGCTACAAAACTCTCTCGGTGGGGGGATTTAATTGAATAAAGTCTGCGTCACACAAAACGAATCCATCCATTTCAGTGTTAAAGGTCAGCCCGGTGATTCCGAGCGGCCCCGTCTGTAAAATGTGAATGTAAAAGCGTGAAAGGACCGACAGTACAGACCCCGGGCTCATCCCTGTGGCACAGCGCCGCTGTCGTTTACTAATTCAACCTGTACCGCATGAAGGAATCGGCTCCCTCCGTCAGTGCAGCGTCTCTCATTCCGCTCTTTCCCCTCAGACTGAAGGCGTGTTTGAGGAAGGTGAACGACACGTCCTCCAGGGTGGTGGGGCAGGCCTTCTTCAACGTGATACAGGTGCCCTGCTTTGAATTCAGGTACGAGGAGCAGTGCGTGGAGCGCCTGTGGTACGGGTGGTAAGTGTCCCTTAAACATTTACAAACATCTTAATAATAGAAACGTTTTGTAATACTTATAAATGAGCACTAACTCCATTCGAATCGAGTTTGAAATTAGCATTAGCCTTCCCCTCGAGTTTACAATTCTACTTCTGGAAAGCCAGAAGGTTTCTGAGTTGATTTGTAGGTGGGCTCTAAATGATAGAACTGGACTCTATTTAGGCACTTGTAGCCTCTCCTTGTTCTTGAGAAGATGGAGATTTAATAATATTAATAATAATAA